TATTTTCCTCGTCATGCAGAAAGCATTATTTTCACCATGACCAATTGGACTGGGATGAACACAGCTCTGCAGGGCGATATGTTCGGAGACGCTGTAAGCCCTTAAAGGTAGGAGACAGCTTTTTTTATTATTTTATGAGATTGGCAGTTGTGAAAGATCTCTCTAAAATACTTCCTTTTTTTCCTTCTTTCAGGAGTTCATGCATTGCCAAGACACGGATCACCAGAGTCTGTTTGACCTTGTTCGCAGGATGCTGGAATACGACCCTGCCAAAAGAATTACTCTTGATGAAGCCTTGCAGCATCCTTTTTTTGAACCATTAAATAAATAAATGCATTTGAAGATCTTTTATGCTTCTCCAGGGAGATTTCCTAGACTGTGTCAGTCAACAAGAGGTTGCATGAAACTTTTCTAAACTTTAAATTATTTTGTACAGTTAAGTCTGTAAATAGTTACATATGTTTTGTATAACTGTTATGTTTACCTTGTTGAACTGTTGTAGTCTCATGGGTATCGAAGTGAAAAATAAAAGTAATTTTCATTTTTGAAAATGGTTTTCTCTTTGAAACTGTATCCCTCCCCTTTTGCAGATGGGGCTAGTTAAGCAGCTGACTTGGGAATTAACTTTTATTAGTCATAAAGGAAAGATGTGAAGGGCTAAGGCTGCCTGATCGTGCTGCATCGTGACAGTGTTCTGAAACACGTTTGGGAGCAGCATGTGGGCATCTCTGGTGGCTGCTAATTTGTCTCTGGAATTTTGTCTGATGCTTTCACTGTTAAGTATTTATAGGTAGGTTTTTTTTGTTAAGGTCTGAAAAGTAACATATTTTCAATATCATTTTGATTCATTGAATTACCGGTGTTCTTATGAGAACACTTAAGAGAATGAGGTTTTTGAAAGGACTGTACTGCCCTTGGAGAAAAACACACACCACAGAGTTGTGGTGTAGTGTCTTGCAATAGGAACAGAGTCATCCTGAAGTCTTCATTTTTCTGTGGAGCTTGCTCTCTAATTACTGATTAGTAACCTTGGCAACCAGGAAACACCGTTATCGGACTGTAACAGAGGAAGGAGATGGATGGATTCTCAGTTGAGACTCTGAACTCTGGTGCTGAGTTGAGAAGAAAATGGCACTGCTTTCCAGGGTCCTTTAATGCACTTTGTTTGGTAGTTTTTGCTCTTCCATGTTTAATTTGATGTTTTTTTGGTCTTGCTCAAGGCTCTCTTAGTCCGTGTGACACAGTCTGGATGACGCTGCTGTGGTGGGGCTCATCCAGGCTCTCCGTGTAGGTGCAACGTGCAAGTTGGG